CTGCAGCAGCTCCAAGTATCTGGTCCTCAAACAGCTTCTCAATTTTACCCAACAGCAGAGGGTTTCACCTCAGGTCTATCTCTTATCAAGCAGGGAAAGCTTCCCCCAGTAACCCCACATTAGACATCAACTGATGATTCATTCTTGAAATGTTTCATGTGCCTAACCCTACATCAATCACTGGCAAACAGGACTAGGCTTAGAATAACAAGTTATGATTCAGTCTCCAAGGCTGGACATGGCCACTCCTGTTAGCATGAGAGGAGGAGGATGTGGCTGTGAGGTGGCCAGCCAACAGTGTCTGCTCCAACCCCTGGCAGTGGACCAGTAAATCTGACCAATAAGTAACAGGCACAGAATCAGAACAAGAGGGTTGTTCCCACATAAAAGATGAGGCAGGAATGAGTACTGGTTCTCACACAGAAACGTTCATGAGCCAGAATGTCTCATTTCCTGAAAGTTGTAGGTAACTTAGGTGTTACTATAATCATGTGTACTTGCTCACTGCATAGCACAATGTGGCTCTTACCTTTGCTAAACTCATTCACTGTCTGGCCCCATTCAGGACTTAAAGATGTCTTAGCATGTTATTCCCACCCGGGCTTGTAGATTACAGGCTAAGAGCCCAGCCTAGCTAACCAGCTGATTTTGTGCTTTTTCTTCCTTGGGTATTAATTACAATGAATGTCTTTAAAGATACATTTCTCAACTGAAATTTTTTGACTTTTTGTTTTTACCATAAACTTTCCAGAAAGCTTCCCTAAGTATTGACTAAGATGGTGCCTCATCTAATGTTGCTTCCTTGTCATCGTCACATTCACCTTAAGTACTTGTCACCAGCTGGAATTGCCTTATTGACTCTCTCCCCTACAATAGACGGTCCACGAGAACTAGGACATATCTGCCTTTTTCATTGCCATACCCCTAGTGACAAGGACAATGCCTGCCCAGAGTGGCCTGCAAAACATGCTCGATAAATGAATGAATAAATCCTTAGGTCAAACAGCGTCTAGGGGCAGAATATAAACACGTCTTAACTTGCCAGTGATTTTAAGGTTTTGTATGCTACTCTGGTTCATGCCTCTGATAAATCAATTAGAAAACAAGAATTCTCCCATGCACTTCAAAATATTACTGTCTTTTCTGCATAACACTTTTAATTGCATGTGCTTATTGAATTAATAAGATTGCATTCCGTCAAGGCAGACACTGGGGATGTTTTCAAATGCTTTGAATTTTCCACACAGACAATACCTACTTGCTTGTCTCCCTCAATCTTACCAATCTGGGGAATAAGTTTCATATCTGAGAGCCAGAGGTAGCCCAAGGGAATATTCTTTCTATCTCAAGTCTTTGTCTCTTTAGGAATGTCAGGGAAACATATCTTTATTTCTCCTACACCCCAGTTCACCTTCATTCCAACAGAGAACAATATCTTTCTATTTATTTTCCAAGTGGCTTCTCATGGTTTGAAAATGTCTCACAATGAAAAGTCAAGTAAGGAAAAAAAAGAGAGAATAAGAAGAGTTATTGTGAATGTAAATGAGAATGAGAAAATTATTATTTCTATTGTTCTCTCTGTTCTGAAATGGGAAGATATAATCCTGTGAACTGACCTCTCTTCATCCCACTCTCTCTGGAATGTGCTTTCCAAGAGCATGGCAGTAGGACCTGGTTCTAGTCTTTTTATCCTATCGTTCACACAACTAAGGATATGGTTTGGATATTTGTCCCCGCCTACATCTCATGTTGACATGTAATCCCCAGGGTTGGAACAAGGGCCTGCTGGAAGGTGTCTGGATCATAGGCACCAATCCCTTTGGTGATAAGTGAGCTCTCCCTCTGAGTTCACAGGCGATCTGGTGGTTTAAAAGTATGTGGCACCTCCTACCCACTCACTCACTTGCTTCTGCTTTCGCCATATGACGTGCTTGCCCCAGCTTCGCCTTCTGCCCTGATTGTAAACTTTCTACGACTTCATTAGAAGCCAAGCATCAGATGCTGGGGAAATGCTTCCTGTACGACCTGCAGAACTGTGAGCCAATTAAACCTCTTTTCCTTATAAATTACCCAGTCTCAGGTACAGCAAAGCCAAGAATGGACTAATACAACCACTAACAGAAAAACCCTATTGGAAACTCAAAGTCAAGAGTAAGTGATAACAAGGTAGGTGTTATTATTCCCATTTTGCCACAAGAAAACTGAGCACAGAAGTTAAATAACTTGATTAAGGTTACAGAACTAGTAAGGGCAGAACTACAAAGTATACTCTGGCCCATCAGCTTCAAAGTCCCTTCTTGGGGCCCATGGCAAAACATGCACAGGGGTAAAGAAGGGCAGTCCCCACTGCCCTGCAGCAATGCTTTGCTAAAACAAAATTTGCAATAGTCGTAAGAACATAATAGAATATTTATCACCATGTAAGACTCTTTGGAGTCCCAGCCCCCTCAATAAGGTTTTGTGTGTGTGGGGGTGTGTACATATAAAATGAGGATACTCTTATTAGATACTTAAGGAGAAGACTGGTTTGTGTTTTAGAGTCACTGAACCTAATACTTCTCATTTTTAAAACCGAAACTACTAATAATATCTCAGTTTTAAAGCCTAACGCTCTTTGCTGGTCCATTCTATAACCAATTACATGACTGTTTCCAGAGAAAACCTTTCACATGTCTTAGTTTAGATTCTTCAAACTCTCAGTTTACCAAGCAGAATAATAACCAGAGCTAAATGGAAATTAAGGTTCAATACTGTATTGGGCACAATTGAATATTTATAGAATGGTTAAACAGGCCACAGATGAAATATCAAGTTGTCAATGTAATTTATGTAACTTTTATTTTTATGTAATTTCACACTTATAGAAAAATACCCATATGCCTTTACCCAAATAGCTACTTACTAACATTTTGCCTCATTTGCATTATCATCAATGTAATTTTATAAACATAGTAATGTATAATAAGACAATTCTATAGCAATTTAAAATTAGTCAATATAAATAAAATTATTTAAACTCAAGCTAAAAGGAACACCATTTTACTGCCATGGTCCACAAGTTTAAATCCAATTTGCAGGCTTTGCATTGGAAAGCATATTGGATTTAGAAAAGTGTAAAGCCCACACACTATCATAGGTGATGACCAATGTCAGGACCCCCAGATATTTCCTGTAATATCAGTGACATTCATCTCCATGTGAGCATATTTTTCAAAGGCAGATCACTCTATCAGCCTTTAAAAAAGAAGTTGTTAAAACATAATCTTATAACAAAACCCATAAATGAAAAAAGTGTCTTAACCCAAAAAGTAATCAAATAGCAACAATCAACCTCCTAAGTTGTCTATCAACATGGCTACCACCAAGAAATCTTTGTTGTAACATTTCAATCTCCATTTCCCTCTGAAATAAGGACAAATCACTTCATTTGAGAATTCAGTATTTCCCAAAGCTAACTACGAAACCTCTATCACCTGAAAACCTTCCCTTTGGTTCCACATATCCTGCCATGTCACATTCTTGTGACCCCCTGCAGGGCCATCTTGTTATAACGGGTCCATGTCTTGCTAAAGCTGAGAGGTAAAGGGCTAAAAACAAGTCCCAGCACAGATTCCAGGACTCCCAGGCATAGGCTTGTTTGAGGATTTTGCCTGGGTTAGCAGCCTCCCCTGAAATTGTTCAGTGCACAACTCTTCGCAGACCAATCGCTCAGATGCGTGGCAGCAAGCAGACGTGTCTCGGCTTCTCTCCTTGTCTCTGTTGCCTTCCTCTCCAGCCGGTTCTTTAGAAATGCTTTATTTCCCTTGTCCACTGAAAATACAACCTAGATTCCTTCAGTAAATATCTGTTAAGGAGGTCACACGAAAAGATTGCTCCAACTCACTCTTGCTGGTGGGCTCCCAAGGGTAAAATAATATAGTTCGTGTCTTCTCAGTCATGAGGAAACCATTGTCACTGAATCTCCCTGGGATGCTTCCTACATCCAACCAAACAAAGGGAGCAACAGCTGAAGTCTCCAGATCAAAAACAAATATGTCACCTTGCTGAGAGATGACGACCTGAAAAAGAAAAAAAATGAAGTGAGGGGTGAGGGAAGAGTTATAGAGTCTGTATACAGCTCCTGTACACATTTATGTGGGCCTAAAGAGTGCATTTCCCACAACGTTGGTTCTACAACTGCTAAAGTGCAGTTTCAATCACGCAACAATACATAGAAAATGACTAGAGGCTATGGAAAGCTACCGAATTATAATCTTAAATCAAGGAAACATCGTCTCCAATCATTAAGAATATTTCCCAAGAAGCTCAAAGCTTTACATCTTTTACAGTTTTTCTCAGAGTGTCATCAGGAGAGCAACATTTTTACATACAGCCTGGGTGGTTTTAATGACTTTCTAAGGCTATATCTGGACCTAACTACAGAACCCAACTGTGGAGCTTATACTCGAGTCTTCCGAAAAGATCCAGCAATCTAGAAAGCCCACTACCAGAAAGTTCTGCCATTAGAGCTTCTCTCTTTTATTGTATAGTTCAGTAAAGTCACATTATTAGCATTTTTTTACATGTATGAATTCCACAAAATAGTAATAAGAAGAGAGAGTGCCATTTAAATCATGTAGGCTCCATTCCACTTAATTAGCTGAAGCTCATATGCCCAGAGGATACGCCACTTCCCAGACGGTGAGGGTGTGCAAGCCTCTCTTAGCGTGAGCACAGAGCTGAGTTCCACCTGGTTTCTTTTTTTATTTAGACAGAGTCTTGTTCCGTCGCCAGGTGCCAGGCTGGAGTGCAGCGCTGTAATCTTGGCTCACTGCAACCCCTGCCTCCTGGCTTCAAGCAATTCTCCTGCCTCAGCCTCCCAAGTAGCTGAGACTACAGGCGCACACCACCATGCCCAGCTAATTTTTGTATTTATAGTAGAGACAGGGTTTCACCATGTTGGCCGGGATGGTCTCTTTATCTCTTGACCTCATGATCTGCCCACCTCGGCCTCCCAAAGTGCTGGGATTACAGGCATGAGCCACCGCGCCCAGCCCCACCTGGTTTTAAGCTGCACATTTGTCATGCAACATCTCAGCCTTACATTATATGTTATGTGTGACAAAAACAATTTCAAAGAGCCATTTTCATTATATACAATTTAGCCTTAGATATTTGTAGAATATGTTATCATTCAGGGTTCTGAGTTATATACAAGGAAATCTACTGATAGAAGCAGAAAAGAAAATTAATAAACTGTTATCAGGTAGCTCTTCAGGGTCAGAGACTCAGGCTTGAATATAGATGGCAAATTCCCAGATCACACCGCCCAGCTCTTCCAAGGAACGTCCTAAAGCAGCCACAGGAACAAGGTTCACGCAGCTCCTGCCATCCAGCCCAGGAGGCTGCCAGGGCAGCCCCCGGTACTGCTGCTCCAAGACCAAGGCTGAAAGAGAGGCCAGTGCCTTGCTCACACTGGTTACCTTCTTTGGATTGGAAATCTCTTCTCTGTATATCTGACTGCAGAGCCTGGGATTCAAGTTTGCACCCTGACTTCGGGGAGATGGGGAAAACAAGTTTCTGGCATCTCCCTTGAGATAAGAAGCCAAGTACCTAGTCTATATTAAGCCAGAAATAAATGTTAACTAACATTATTATTAATATCATTTTCTCTCCTTAAGAAAGACAAATTTCACTGAAATCAAAATGAGATAGAACAAAGAGCGAGCCCTGCTTTTCTCTCACCCCAATTACCCACCTCAAAGTAATGAAGGCCTAATTCAGGAAAGAAAAAAATTTTGTTTTCAAAATCGTAAGTTTAGAGACTACATATTCATCCAGTACATAGTTTTTGTTTCTCTTTTTTGGAAAGAAATATACGTAAGAGTATGTCATTTCCTTCTGCTCTGTTCTCTATTAGTTGTTAGAGATAACTTGGATTTTATTATGTGACTATTTATTTAGAAAGAAGGTATGTTTTCAATTGTTAGGCCTCTTTAAAATAAAACACAAGGATTAGGTATTACATATATTTTTAAATTAAATGTAGAAAACTCTATGAAGTAAAAGTGTAAAATAGATTTAAAATTTTCTAAAAATAGAAAATGTAACTTTCTAGAAAGATATTTCCTGAGTGTCCAGAAGACAGGATAGCAAAATTTAAAAACATGTATTTCCAATTGCTATGTGTAGGGGAGAAGGAAGGAAAGGTTTTTAACCTACTAGACAAATGCCAAATTCTCCAGCTGCACAATTTTTATAACAACACATCCTGATCATCCCATTTTTATATCTTGGCAATTATAAAAAGATTTGGTGATTGAGCTACTTTGAAGCAATAAATCAAAGAGACCAGAGTGAATATTAATAGACTCTACTTAAAATTAGACTGTCAGCTGGGCACCAATGCTTCCCAGCTCCAGGACCTCAAGCTCATAACTTAACCTCCTAAACTGGTTTCCTCACTTACGAAATGCAGATGATAATGCTTGGAGCTGTGGTGAAAGTCAGATTATGTAATGAAGCCCCCAGAACAGACCCTGGAACTTAGTAGACATGAGGCAGTGGTGATGACTCCAGCCTCCTCTCCCATTACTGCACCTGCCCACTCAGGAGGGGTGATGGAACACACGAGTGGCGGTCACCAGCAACTCTGACAGATCCTGGATTTGAAATAGAAATCATTTGGTGTTTGCTTTATGTGGGAAGAGGCCAGTCTTCCCCCAGGCCTCAGGTAAACTCAGCACCAAGGGGGGGACGCATACAAATCTCAGGAGGCAAGGAGCAGGCCCAAGAGCAGGAGAGCCCTACAAGGCCACAGCCCCTTGCCCTCACCATGACCTGTGCTTACAGTGATCTGTGCCTTGCAGAGCCCCATGGCCTCCTTCAGTGAGGACAGGAAGTGGTAGTTGGTCGGGCTCAGGAGTTCATGGTCAGCTGAAAGGTAAAAGGAAACCACACAGCTTTCCCGTGTGCAATTCCCACATCTCCTCAGCAATTCAGACACTGGCTCCTCATAGAGGCAGACAGCCTCTCCTGCTTTCATCACAAAATGTTCAGTCACACGAGAGCACACGGGCTCCAGGGAACTCCAAGTATGGACTCTCACCTGGGGAGAAATAAAACAGAATAAAAACAGGCATTCTTGGTTGCTATGCTTTTAGGGAACAATAGTAGTAATAATTGCTGCAAGTCAGGATAGCAGAAATGGTTAAGAGACTATGAAATAAGAGTTCTAATCTCAGTCCCACAAAGTGCTAGTTACGTGACTAAGTTAACATCTCAGTCTTCATTTCTTCATATGTAGAATGAAAATAACAGCAGTAATATCACAGGCTGTTGTGGGAATTTAAAAAATAATCCATGGAAACCACAGTACCTGATGCGTTGTAATTTTTCTGTAAATGTGAGCTATTTTCAGTGTTATTAGTGTCCTCCAAACTGCAGCCACCTAAGACTTTTTACTTAAATTTATTTTTTAAATACAAATATGTTTTCCATACGCCCGTTCTGAATAGTTCTACTGATTTTCACTATAACATGCTATTTTTAACCGTTTCTTTTTATAAAGTTGGGACTATTTCTAGCCTCTCATAATTATAAATAATCTTGCATTTAAGGGGAACTTTACAGCATATATAATTTGCTTTTATCTAGTAATTTTATTCGCTATTCATAGAAAGCCTGTAAGAAGTTAGACTGGTATCATTTTACAGAGGAAGAAATTGAATCACCAAGATGTGAAGGGTTTTGCTTATGGTCACATCATAAATGGCAGGGTTTTAGCCAGAATATATGTATTCTGACTCTAAATTAACTTCTCTTTCATTCTGAAAAGAATGCAACCAAACAACTAAATAAATAACCTAAAAGTCCCCTTCTATCTTAGAAAACAATCCAAGTAACTTACAGTGAGTGTCATCGTATAATCCGAGTGAAGATCCGACACACCATAGATATAGAATATGTTCTCATTCTCAAAGCCTACTGGCAGCAGTGGAGCAAAGAAATTCTGAGCAAAGTAATGAAGCATCTTCCACTTTCCTCCGTACTCTGAAAATAATCAAGAGTGTCAGGAGGTGGCAAGATCAAGTAGTCAGAGAGGCACTGTCCAATGGCCCAGCTGTGTGTGGCTCATCGGGGTTCTAAGGGAGTGAGCATGTGAGGGAGGGTCGACAGTGAAGGGCACCTATGTTTGAGAAGGGCTCTGAGCACTCTGAACATTATGTCATGTCATCCTCACAACCTCTGTGCAGGCATTAACAACCCATGCCATTACGAGATTTCATCATTGTGCGATCATAGGGGGTACTTACACAAACCAAGGTGGTATAATCTACTACACACCAAGGCTATATGGTATAGCCTGTAGCTCCAGGCTACTCACCTGTACAGCATGTTACTGTGCTGAATACTGTAAGTAATTCTACACATAGCAACAGGACAGTGAAAGTACAGCATTATAATCTTATGGGACCACCATCATATATGTACTCTGTTGTTGACTGAAATGTTATATGGTGCATGACTGTATATAAGAACTTATAGATTCTAGGTAGCATATTTATTGCTTTAAAGTATAACCATTTCAGGTGATAAAGGATAACAAATGCCTCCCCACCCACACCCACTATAAGCAGTGGATTTATTGAGCCAATCAACAGCTAAACAGGGGCTATGAGGCCCCCAGAGCAGAAGCAGATGTAGAAAACTTGTCACAGCTTCTCCCTGATACTTGTTTTCTCTAACAAGTACAAGGAGCTGGTGATCCTTCCTCAGGCAGGCAGGGTCCTGCCAGGGTTTAGAAAACAGCCAAGCTCTGGTACTTGGGTTTTCCTACTGTGATCATATATATATATATATATATATATATATCTCATTTTTCTTCTGTGATATTATATATATATATATATATACACATATATATACATCATTTTTATTCTAGAGTTTGATATAGTTTGGCTGTGTCCCCACCCAAATCTCATCTTGAATTGTAGCTCCCACAATTCCCATGTGTTGTGGGAGGGACCCGGTGGGAGGTAATTGAATCATAGAGGCAGGTCTTTTCCGAGCTGTTCTCATGATAGTGAATAAGTCTCATAAGAGCTGATGGTTTTATAAAGAAGAGGTTCCCTGCACAAGTTTGCTCTTACCCACTGCCATGTAAGAAGCCCCTTTGCTCTTCCTTCATCTTCTGCTGTGATCGTGAGGCCTTCCCAGCCATGTGGAAATGTGAATCCACTAAACTTCTTTTTCTTTATAAATTACCAGTCTCGGTATGTCTTTATCAGCAGCATGAGAACAGACTGAAACAGTTCCTAGCTCATAACTACCATAGGCCTTGTAACAGACTCTTCTTATAATGTTGAGGTGCTTTAAGGACTCAAAAGCAGGCCTTAGTAGCAGAATCTATCTCTCTGACTTCTTCTCTCCTTTCACCAGCCCAAGCCAGGACTCTAATCTGATTATTGGTCATAAGACACTTATTCAGCAGGAGTCCTGCCCCATTACCTGAAGGAGGGAATGCTTCACAGAGAGGCCAAGAAGCTGAATGGACAGGCCTTGCTAAGCTTCTCCACTCAGTCTAATGGTATTACATTATATCCGCTTTGTCCAATCACATTTCTACATGGTTATCAATCATGGCTATCCAATGAAGTCTCCCTATAATGCCCAAGAGGACAGAGTTCAAAGAACTTCCAAATAGCTGACCACATTCCTGGAGGGTGGCACACCCCCACTTCACAGGGACAAAGTTCCTGTGCTCAGGATCCTTCTAGACTTCACCCCATGTATCTCTTCATATGGCTATTTATTTGAGCCTTTTAAAATATCCTTTCGTAATACACTGGTCAAAATGTTTCCCTGAGTTCCGAGAGCCACTCTAGCAAATTAAACCCAAAGAGGGGGTGGTCGTGGGAACTCCAACTTGAAACTGGTCAGTCAGAAGTTCTAGAGGCCCAGACTTGTGACTGGTGTCTAACGGGGGAAGGTAGCTTTGTGGAACTGAGTTATCAACCTATAGAATCTGATGCTATCTTCAGGTAGATAGTGTCAGACTTAAGCTGGAGGACACTCACATGGTGTCCACTGCAAAAGTGATTGCTTGCTTGGTGTGTGGGGGAAATTTCCCATACATTTGGTCACAGAAGTCTTCTGTGATGATTGTTGCTGTGGAGTGAAGGAATTAAAAAAGCACTTTGAGGCTGGGCACGGTGGCTCACACCTGTAATTCCAACATTTGAGAAACCAAGGAGGGCAGACGAGTTGAGACCAGGAGTTCAAGACCAGCCTGGACAACACGGCAAAACCCTATCTCTAGAAAAAAAATACAAAAATAAGCCAGGCATAGTGGTGCGCAGCTATAGTACCAGACTGACAGAAGGTTGAGGTGGGAAAAAGGCTTAAGCCTGTGAGGTGGAGGCTACAGTGAGCCATGATTGCACCACTGCAGTCCAGCCTGGGAAACAGACTGAGACTATCTCAACAAAACAAAACAAAACAAAACAAAAAAGCACTTTGAGTTTGAGTAGTTTTTTTTCCCCCCACAAACCTACTCTTGCTGAGGAATTCAGGAATAATCTACATCATTTAAAGGAATATTTACAAAAGTTGGGCTCTCCCATTTCTTGAATCAAATTCAGTTTCAGAAGTCCACAAGCTCATCCACAGACAGAAAGCAGAGTCAGTATCCAAGAGTTTCTGAACAACATCTCTTTGTCTACCTTTCCAGCATCCCAGAAGGATTTCCCCCCAAGTCTACCCTTGATGCTCAAATGCTCTCTTATCTGGTTGCTGCTGATAAAGAGTTTCAACAAAGAAACTGGATTAGAAATCCAGTCCTCTGTAAGAGTCATCCATCTGGCACTAATGAAAACATGTTTGGAATGAATTTCTTTTGATCTGCATTTACAGCCAGTTTCAGAGCCTTGCCCAACCTTTCTACTTTGTAGCCTTGCCTCATTTTTGACCCAAAACGATTCTTTGCATTATTAACTGAACTTTGTTTCAAGTCACCTCTAGTGAAGGCCAAAGACTCAACATTATTCCTTAATTTTTTTGTAATGTACCAGAATAGATGGAATAATTCAAACTGCAGGTCCCATGGCAATCATCTCACCTATTGTGAGTTGAACTGCTTCAATTGGTCACCTTTCCCATTTGGGATTCTGCCTCTACTCCCTTTTCCCAAAGAGCTAAATAGGGCATAATAAAGACGTCCTTAAGAGACATCTTCATTATGTCCTTAAAGGACATCTTTATTTGTCCATAAAGGGGAATCAGACAAAGGGAAACATTAACATATAACCAGGCCAAACATCTACCTGATTGAATTATCCAACACAGAAGAAGGGAAGCTTAAGTTCATGCTTCTTTAGCCCCAGAATGTCCTCTTAAATAAATTCAAAATTCTATCCAGTAATTACAAGACACATGACTTAGACTTATGTATGTGAATCTATCCCATTCTCAGCCTGCTGTTGCAACTTTGCACAGCACAGAACTCATAATTAGGTTACCCTCGAGGCGCATGGGAAGACTGCTAAGGTAAGTTGGGTGGCTGTAGCTCGTAGGCGGGCTTTTTAAAAAATGACCTCTTTTGATCATAGTTCTGCCTGGGCTGATCTGACCCCTGTGGCTCTATGCTTTCGCAGCCCCTCTCCCTACAGTGTTGCTTTCCCTCAATCGCACAAAGAACACTGAAACACTTACCAAGAGAAGCCCAGGAAGGAGCTTGCCAGATGTCATTCAACTGCCAATAAAGTGCCCCCATGGTGTGCCCTTGCTGATCCACTATCTCACTGCGACTGCGGAGGTAGAATTCAGTTTCTGTTTTGACACACTGGGCCTGCATCACCTGATTCAGGAAACATTCATACACAGGTGTTACTGTTTGATGTAGACTGGCTAGCTTTGAGAAAATTACAGGGTTTAGTTTTGTTTTGGGTTTTTTTTTAAGCAATTTGGATAAATTAGAAAATTTAATTAGTATTAGGAATATATTATACTAGATCTGTCTGCAACTAGCCCCTTAGCGTGAGAGAAGCTGTTGTCTGTAACAGCAGGTTTGTGTGGGAGGCTTGGTGATTAATTACTGTAACAATGGGTGACAAAGGAAATAGGATGGTGTAAAAGGTTCTTTGCTAATGATAACGTAGGCCATAAAGAAAAACAAAGACTATTATTACAGAACAAATGCCGTATGTAGTCTAAAACTAGGTTATTTTCGTTGATAAATTTTGCTAATATTTTCACAGCTATTTTTTTTGAGACAGAGTCTTGCTCTGTTGCTCAGGCTGGCATGCAATGGCGCAATCTCCACTTACTGCAACCTCTGCCTCCCAGGTTCAAGCGATTCTCCTGCCTCAGCTTCCCAAGTAGCTGGGATTGCAGGCATGCACCACTACGTCCGGCTACTTTTTGTATTTTTAGTAGAGATAAGGTTTCACCACGTTGGTCAGGTTGGTCTTGAACTTCTGACCTCGTGATCTGCCCCCGTCAGCCTCCCAAAGTGCTGGGATTACAGGCGTGAGCTTGTAATTACCTGGCTTCACAGCTATTTTTTTTAAGAAAAACTTTTACTAGAAATAATTCTATATGAAAAATAACATTGTTATTACAAGTCTCATATCCAATCCCTAACACTTTTTTTCTAGTCAAACAGTTGTTTTGATGTCATGGTTTTTGATAAGGTAAGATTCTCATGAATGTAATTCCTTTGTTGTAGCAGAACAGATGGTAAACTGCAGCAATGAGCCAAATGAATTTAGTTCTTGTTTAAGATAAACTAAAGAACTTCACACAGGACCCTTAATTACTGTCATCATCATTCAAAAATCAGTCTCTTTTCTTGCTGCTGTTACAGACACATGAATCACATGCTCTTAGCCTGGAGTTGTGCTGAGGAGGGGTTCATGAATGGGCCACTGAGTAGCACTGAGGAGAACCCAGAGAGATGGTCAGAGCAGCAAGGCTTTCAGTCAGAGAACAAGATGGCCTTAGAGTAGGGCTTGGGTTTTCACAGAGGAAGAAAAAGAACAGTGCACATGGCCACCAAAAGGCGAAGCCAAGATGCTTCCCCATAAAAGCAAAAAAGCTCGGAAGGCTGTCTAGTAAGGAAGTCAGAGATGAGAGTATGACTTATGTGAGTCACAGCCATCAAATTTCATAAAAGAAGCAAGAAGAAATTTTGGTCATTCAACAAATATTTAATAAGTACCTGCAGACTATGTTACATACGGGCACCCCACCCAGCAAAAAATGATACAGCCCACCCTATGGAGCTTATCAGCTTGTGTAGAAGACAGGCCTTCATCAAAGAATCACACAAAGACAGGTAAACATCAAACAGTAACAATGCTAAGTGGGAGAGGTATGCAATGTTGTGGGCCCATGGTGGGGTAATTGGGCAGAGCTGTAGAGTGAGGATTAGCCTAACAGAAGAGGAAAGGGAAAAAGAAAGAGGGCAGAACCTTGCAGAGAGGACAACATGCCATGGGAGGAGGACGTCAGGTTGGCTATGAATTGAAGGAAGGCCAAGAGGGCCTGAGCACAGGAAGCTATAAGCAATGGAAGCTGGTGAGAATCACAGGGGCCAGAGCTTGGAAGGCCGCATGTTGAAGGTGTTGATGTGCGTCCTGAAGGCAAATGGAAGTCATGAAAGGCTTTTAAACTAAAGGGTGATGTGACCAGATTTGTACTTCCAAAAGATGACTGAGACTACTGAAGGAGAAAGGGATTACAAGGGGGCTAGAGTGAATTCAGGTAGACCATTTAGGCAAGAGATGGTATTAGCTATGAGCAGACAAATGCCTTCTCATTCAGAAACCAGACCACTAGGAACACAGCAACAGCAGCAGGAAAATGTTCTAAAGTAAGAATCTCACAAAGCGAGCAGCATTGGTGCCACCTCAGAATGACCATGGCCCCTATAAACATTTGACTTTTCAGTAGCTAAAATGTATCCATTTCAGCATTATTATGTGCAAGATATGTTTATTTCTATATATCCATTCAAACATTAATCTCCTCACTATAATTTACTTTTTCCTGGTTTAATAGATAAAACTTATTAGTCCCTTCGAATTTTCAAAATTTGAAAAAAGTTTTAAATGTAAGTGGGGTTCCTAACCCTCAATAGCAATGAAAAAAAAAAGAGCACCTAAGTGGCTCTATGTAGGAGCCTCTCTTACAGGAAATTAGCATGAAAGAGCATACCCAAGACTCTTGAGTGCTCCAGGTTCTGGCACAGTGTGGTACACTCCACATACAGATGGTAGCATGCTAATAACATAGACCTGAATCTATCCAAACCAGTGGGTACCAGTCAAAACTAATGTATGACACCTTTGTTCATAAAAATGCAGAAGGCTATTGCCCACTATACTTCCTAAGGGATGTTGTACAATCCTAGTTCCCTGGAAAATCTCTAGAATCTCCCCCTTCCCCTTTAAAAACTGTACCTAAATTTACACATCCATGCATCCTTTCCTAAAAAGGGCAGTCTTTACACATAAGAGGGATAAATGCTTAGTCATTTTCTAGGTTACTCAGTCCACTGTTAGCAGACAAATCTGTTTTAGTTTTAAATATATGCCTATTTGGCTGACGCAGTGGCTCATGCCTGCAATCCCAGCACTTTGGGAGGCTGAGGCAGTGGATCACAAGGTCAGGAGATCGAGACCATCCTGACTAACACGATGAATTCCATCTCTACTAAAAACACAAAAAATTAGCTGGGCATGGTGGCATGCGCCTGTAGTCCCAGCTACTTGTGAGGCTGCTGAGGCAGGAGAATCGCTTGAACCCGGACAGCAGAGGTTGCAGTGAGCCAAGATCGTGCCATTGCACTCTAGCCCAGTGACAGAGCAAGACTCTGTCTTTAAAAAAAAAAAAAAAAAAAAAAAAAAAAAAAAAAAAAAAAAAAACTATTCTTTGCAGCTTGATTACACTTACGAAATTACTATGAGAGGCAAATAAATGGTATGGTGAAAAGAAATTGGATCAAGATACGAAGACCTAAGTCCCAATTCCAGCATTGGCACTGGTGGTTGTTAGCTAGCTGTCTTCCAAAACCCATAAACCTTTCCTCCAGAGTGAGAGTTGTAGCTGGATTACATTTTCCAGAAACATACCCCCAACCCGTGGGACTTGAAGTACCCATGTGACTTAGTTCTCTCAATATCTATATACTTTATTTACTTAAATTATCCTGACACTAAGAATCTTCCAATAAAGCTGTTTTTAAAACCAAGATTTAATTCACATACCATAAAATTCTTCATTTTTAGAGGTTATAATTCATTGGTTTTTACCACAGTTATAAGGTTGTGCAACTCTTTTCACTATCTAGTTCCAGAATATTTTCATCACCCCAAAAAGAAACACCATACTGGGAAGCAGTCACTCCCCATTCTCCCTTCTCCCTAGCTTCTGAAAACCACTTAATCTACTTGCTCTGTTCTGGGATTTGTCTATTCTGGACTTTTCACATAAATGGAATGATAAAATATGTGGCTTATGACTGGTTTCCTTTCTACTTCTGAATAATATTTTATTGCATGGATATGCTACATTTTGCTTGTCTATTCATCAGCTGAAAAATTAGGTAATTTCCACTTTTTGGCTATTATGAAAAATGTTGCTATGAACATCTGTGAAGAGGTTTTTGAGTGAACTTTTTTTTCCATTTTTTTGAATATATATACCTAAGAGTAAAATTGCTGGGTCATATGGTAAACTCTATGTCTAATTTTTTAAGGAATTAACAAACTGTTTACCACCATTTTACAATCCCACCAGCAACATATAAGGGTTCCAATTTCTCCACATCCTTGCCAATACTCATTATTTTCCTTTTTTAAAAAAATGTAGATATTGTAGTGGATATAACTGGTATCTCACTGTGGTTTTTGATTTGCATTTCTCTAATAACTAATGATGTTGAGCATCTTTACATGTGTTTACTGGTCATTTTCTTTAAAGAAGTGTTTATTCAAAGCCTTTGCCAATTTTTAAATTGAGTTGTCTTTTTCATTATTGAATTCTAAGAGTTCTTTATATATTCCAGATGCTAGATCCCTACCAGACATATGACTTGAAAATTTTTTCTCCCATTCTGGGGATTATCTTTTTATTTTCTTGATAGTGTCTTTTGCCATATGAAAGGCGTTATTTTTGTTTTCTGTTTTTGATGAAGTATAATTTGTCTATTTTTTTTGTTAATTTCTTTGATGTCAAATTCAAGAAACTGTTGCCTAACCAAGAGCCATAAAATTTACACCTAAGTTTCCTTTTAAGAGTTTTATAGTTTTAGCTATTACATATAGATGATCCTTGATCCATTTTGAGTTAATTTTTGTATATGGTATGAGGTAGTAGTCTGAATTTATTCTCTTGCATGTGAATATCCAATTGTTCCAGCACCACTTGTTGAAAACGTGATTCTTCCTCCCATTTTATTCTTTTTACCATTTGAAATGTAAATTAGTACAGCCATTATGCAAAACAGTATAGAGGTTCCCAAACTATTAAAAATAGAATTACCATATGATCCAGCAATTCCACTACTGGGTATATATCCAAAGGAAATGAAATCAGTATGTTGAAGAGCTGTGCTCCCATGTTCATCACAGCATTATTCACAATAGCCAAGATATGAAATCAACGGATGAGTAGATAAAGAAGATGTGGTACATATACACAATAGAATATGATCCAGCCTTAAAAATCAAGAAAATCCTGTCACTTGTGACAACATGGAAGAACCTGGAGGACATTATGTTAAGTGAAATAAGACAGGTACTAGTGAAGCTATCTGGTCCTAAATTTTTCCTTTTAGAAGGATTTTTTTGCTTG